GTCGGAGGTTTCTTCCATTAAAGGGAGTTTATAATCCTCGCTGTCACCAAGTGCTGCTCAAGGGGGATTTGTTGGGTTTTTTTCCCCCTCTATAATAATAATGTTGTAATAATAATGTAAACTTTTGTTGTGATTTTGCGCTTTACAAATAAAACAGAAATTGAACTGAATTCATCACAGGCAGAGCAGCTGCTAGGTCTAAGGTGAGGAGGGAGTTGTGCTTCTCAAACCTACAGTAAAACACATTCAGGTCGTCTGCCAGTTGATCGTCTTCCACAGCAATGGGTTCAAAGTTCAAAGTGTGGTCTCCAGTAGCTAGTGAAGTTTTTCAGGCTTCTCCACACAGACGAGTCGTTGGCTAAACCCTGAGCTTTCAGCTTTTCAGAGTAGTTCCTCTTTGCTGCTCTGATCTCCCTTGTCAGTGTGTTCCTGACATGTCTGTACAGGATCCTGCCCCGACATCTGTAGGCCTCCTCTTTGGCACAACGGAGCTGCCTGAGTTTTACTGTGAACCAGGGCTTGTTGGTGCTGTATGTGCAGAAGGTCTTGGTGGGCACACACACACACACGTCCTCACAAAAGCTGATGTATGATGTCACAGTGTCACTGAGTTCGTCCAGGTCTGTAGATGGTGCCTGAAGTACACTCCAATCTGTGCAGTCAAAGCAGGCCTGTAGCTCTCACTGTGCCTGCTCAGTCCATCTCTTCACTGTTTTGACCACAGGCTTCGCAGCTTTAAGTTTCTGCCTATAGGTTGGTATAAGATGAAGGCCACTTTCCCCCCGACCAGAATGTCCAAACTGCCATTTGCATTATCAAAAATCAGAGAAAGAGTCAAATTGAGTTGTCTCTGGTCAAGTTAATCCGGGATGGTTTGAAGAAGACTGAGAGAATGAGGAAAAAAAACCAAAACATGAGAGAACGCACAACCAAGGCAGCTATATGTGGTGCCATGAATATGTAATATGGGGAAGTTTAACTGACTTGGTATTATACTGTGATGATCAGACCAGAATGGTGATGATCAAGTGTTCCCTTAATTTTTTTTGAGCCAATATACACTAACTGGCCACTTTATTAGGTAGAGTCGTATGCGATTCTATGTAACACATCCACCTTAACATCTGTGTTCATGGAGCTCAAAATTTTCAGTTTTTGGTAAAACTGTCATAAATGTATAAATTCAATTATGCTTATTATTGTGTTCATAGGTAAAGGTAGTGTTGCACTGGACTACATTATATTCAGAGGGCAGGAGAAAAACACAGAGACACTTCTAAATATAATGTAGTCCAGTACAACACCAACTTTAACTGTGACCTCAATAATAAGCATACAATTTAATCTATACATTTATGACAGTTTCACTAAAACTTTAAACATTCTGAGCTTCATGAACACAGATGTTAAGGTGGATGTGTTGCATTGAATTGCATACAACTGTACCTAATAAAGTGGCCAGTTAGTGCATACACACACATATATCTCACTTCATACAATAGTGCACAGACAACTTCTTACAGTTGAATGCTGATACAACAAAATAACTATTCAGCAGCTCAAACACACCCCACATTAGACTCAACACTACGGCTGCATGATTAATCGTTTTTCAATCTCAGTCACGATTCAGACCCCTACACAATCTCATTTTCAAGTGGCAACAATTTTGCTGTGCTTGCATTAGTAAACATCAACCTAAGTTCTCATTTTTCCTCTCTAGGCTGTGCCAAACAATAACAGGAATGAGTTACAATGCATATTGAGCTGCACACAGTAAGGGACGATGGATTCAAAACAAATCCGATGTGTAAAGATGACACCAATAATCTGAGGCATACTCTGCACAAGCAGTGCTGTGCATCTTCCGATGGTAAAATGATAAACTTGTACAACCATTTGAAACTTCACCACAAAACACAATACATAAAGTTTTGAATTAAAAAATAAATAAATAAAGCTAACGTGCAGGACTACTGACAGTGGATCACATGTTGTGAAAGTGGCCTCCCTGAATATTTGGGCAACGATTCAGTGTGTGGGCCACAGGCTACATCTGGCTAAAGGTGAATTGTGTATTGGGTATAATTGTGTGTATATTACATATGATGATGTTAATGAGCATTTTATTGACTAAGAATCATGAGAAATAATTATGAGTTAATGAAAAACATTGTGATTCATATTTTATCCAGAATCAGGCAGCCCTACTGAACACTACCTCCATCCACAGCATGACAGTTAAACAGATTAACAGGTCTTTAAATACAGTATGTTGGTCTCACCACTGATAATAAACTCAGCTTTGACAAACACATAAGTGACACCACCAAATGATCCCAGCAGAGATGTGCGCTTCTTCAATATGTTCACATGTTAACCACCAGGTTAACATGTGAACATATTCACCAGGCCGACCGACAGCAGAAATGCTGTCCAACAATAATTGCATACTTATGTCAAATGCGTTTTTCATAGAATGAAGTTCTGTTTGTTACATGAAAAATGAGTCCGAAAATGCCCTCCATCTGAAATGACATTTATTGCATCTGTGAATGTGACATGCCGTGTTATGGGCTTCCCAGGTGAGTCACTGTTGTTGGATTGATTTTTTTTTGCCATGGCAGCAAATATTTTGGCATGGCAGGGCACCACTGAGAAATTTTACCAGTGAAAACACTTCCCCCTGAATCCATACCTCACATTATTACCATCAGGTCACAGATACAGGTGTTTAAAATGGAGAAGAGCTTGCTTCAGCACAAGTTTTGTCTACTCAGCCACTGTAGCTCTAAACAAACTACATCACTGATGCTGCTGTATACTTCTGTACCTTTATATTTGTCTACTTACTATGGGCTTGGGTCTTATGTTGTGTGAATATACGTACTACATATGATTCTGTGTTCTGCAGCTGTTTCCCCTTTACAGTAAGACTACTCTTTGAGTCCCTTAAAAAGCACTACATAAATAAATGTATTATTAGAATTAATCAGATTCTATAAGAGATTTGAAAGGATTCAGATTCAATAATATGCTACTGAACCACATTGGTATTCTTTTTGTTAAATTTGCTGACAATGTGAAAAATATTGAATAAGTCTTATCCTTTAACCAAGCTTGTCAAACTAGCAGATCTCTGCAACAGAAAACAGCAGAGTAAAACGACTCCCCAGAAATTAAAAATGCAGAGCTAGAATTTGCTTATAGACAATATCTCTTGAAAAAATGGCATGCAAACACACCTTTTAGTAAATGAGTAAAACCTGCAGCAAATTGCACTTTGGCATTGATTCTGCTGAGAATGTGGATAAGGAATGTCCACTGCCAGCTGCCAAAACTGTTATCTACTGAAATGACTTATAAATTCAGGCTACAGTGAACAGCAGCACCAGGGAGCAAAGACATAAAAAAAAAAAAAAAATCACTTTGCTTAAACCACACAAATGTGCGCCTGCGTGCACACACACTCACTTCCATATCATTGACTAACTTCTCTTCAGCTTATCTATCCACTGACTTCAGGAAACATGAAATAAAGCACTGACTGTTATGCAATATACAACACTGGCATGAAGAATCCTAATCTACCATCATACACAAAGAACAGTTTGAGTAGCTGAGTGATTAAACATAATATGCACCTTGATGGAAAAGAGCTTCTGCAATGAGATAATCGCCATGATGTTACAGGCTGACATCCATAAAAATGTCTGCTAGGAAATAATGATATTACGAAGCCACAATAATACAACTGGTTCAAATATTATGCTAGTATAGTAATTTGCATTTAGTAATGCCAAATACTGTGTAATGATGCTGAGTCACTAAGTAAGAAACAACTGGAAATATATATTTAAACAATTCTAAATAATTGGGAAGGTCATATTGCCAACATTTGTAAAGCACTTCACCATCAAAAACATTCAGATTTTTAAGACCAACAACCCGAGTCTCTTTCAAATTAAAAACGCATACACATCTAATACTGCATGTATGTTTGTATGACATTCATAAATGTGTCTAATGACAGACGATACTGTACCAACAACACACTTAAGTGTCTTGTAATTATCATTTCACACGTCTGAAAAACATCACTGTGTCACGCAATGAAATGAATTGTTCTTGAGGGTGCATATACATACATACACACACAAACCTGCGTGCAAGGGATATAATTTTACCGGACGTTTGATTGTGATTGTTGTAATTGCTACAAGCCTGTGGGCAGGGGCAGTACCGAGAGCAGCATCAGCGAACTTACAAAACATTTTCACTAAAACTGATTATTCTTCAGGGGTTATATGTATGACGAAAAAACACACTACTTCTCTCGATGCAGAGTTGATATCCAGCTATAAACCATAAGATATGTAAATGTGTTCATAAACAAGAGAACTTAAACTGGACATTATATTAAACGGAGTTTGGCCTGACGCTGTGTCCATGGTAGAGAACCGCGCGAACAGTAGGAGAGGCTGGGCTGGTGTGGTTACCGTTAGATCCCAAAACTCGGGAGCAGATTCTGGGGGACGTGAAGTATCCCTGTACAGATAGCCTATGTGTTTCCCTTTACCTTAATTTTGACTTAACCTAACTTTCATCCTAACCCTAGGCAATTGTGTCATATGATGCTTAACCTTACCACAATGTTATACATTAACCCTAACCCATACCTCTTTGGATCTAACGTTTACCAGCCTGGTACTGGTTCTGTGGAGCCGGAGAAATGGCCATTAACCACGGCTGCCATTGATGTTAATGATTAAAGGGCATCGCATCATTTGTGCACGAGATAAACAGTATTAATTACTGTACGAGGAAATGGTTTTCCAGCTCTCGCGGTGTACAGCATGGATGAAGTCTAATACATGCTGAACACTGAAATTCACTCGTCTTTGATTTTACCACAATTTAACATCAAGCTGTCAAAAGCATTAACGAATAACATCTGCTGTCATTGCAGGCTCGGCAGTGGGGTTTGTGTCTTAACTTACCTGATTATTTCGAAGCAAACCCGAACCGACGACTTAACCTATGGCCATATGCCTTTCTTTCCTCGTTCTGTTGGGACGGTAACAACACCGGACGGGATTTGTGGGCGAATGAAAATGTTTCCAGAAGAAGAGCCGTCCAGCCGGCTGTCCAAAATGAAATGTCTATAATCCCTCCCTCAAGCAACGGAGTGTTTACTAAACGGACCGTAAAACTGTGACGGTAGGAGAGAGACCGCTCTTAATAAATACTGCTCGTTAATATGGTTGTCAGTTCTTCTCGCGAGAGCACCTATGTTTGATTGCGCTGTCAATCAGAATGGAAAAGCTTATGCTGCCAAAATTCCCCAAGCCAGGGGTTTGAAACACACTGTCTGTACTGTAATTCATTGATTGTGATTAAAAAAGATAAAGAAAAGAAACCAAATGTTACAGCTTTAACTAGAAACACTGACTACACAGATGGCCTTGTGCAGCTCTCTAGCTAACAGTTAAATCAAAACCAGAGCAAGAGAGTTAAGGATATAAAGTCATCTGAAGCCCAATTAAAGTAATACAAGATAGAGCATGAAACAATTTAAAAAGTTAAATGTTTTTCTGTGCCATGGATGTTGTTGTTATGGGGGGAGGGGGAATCTAAGCACACGGCCCTGTATGAGAATACTCTGATGGTGTTCTAGCTATAATTTGTAGCCAGTTTGCAGTGAATAATACAAAGGAAATTGAGTTTTTAAAAATGCATATTAAATTGCAATTGCAATATTTGATTATTTTCCCAAATCATTCAGCCTTACAGCCTGCTCTGTTGCAGTCTTTCAGTGATTACCTGCAAATAGATTCAGTTTAATAGCTGTATACTTGTGATTTGAAACCAGCTTCATATTGGGTACAAGAATGAGCTAGAAACTATTGTGTGAAACTGAGTTAAAACAGCCATAATGCAAGAAAATATCCTGTATAGAATCTGAATCAGAATCTGAATTAAAATCAAAATCGGTTTTATTGGCCAGGTGTGTTGGACACACAAAGAATTTGACTCTGGTACACTGGCTTTCAATGTGTATGTACAATGTTCTTCTGTAAAGCAACAAGTAGACAAGAAAACAAGATAAGCCTGAGAGAACAGGGAAAAAAAAAAAAAAAAAAAAAAAAAGAAATAAAGAAAAAGAATGTCCAAGCAAGAAAAAGAAGTGTGCAAACAAGAAATGTGCAAATAACACTTAAAAAAAGCACTTATATATGCAGTTTAGATGGCATTTTTCAGATTGATATATATACAAAAGTATATTTACAAAGTATTGCACTGAAGGTTGTTGAGTGATGGCAAGGGGGAAGAAATCCGATTGTATGTAAATCAATAATATGTTACCTTTAAGGTGGGCTGGAGCCAGTCCCAGCCTACATTTTGTAATAGGTGGCATACACCCTTGACAGGTTGCCAGTCTATTGCAGGGCTGACACACAGTGACAGACAAACAGTAGGGTAATTTAGTCAATAATTAACCTAACCTGCTGGTGTTTGCACTATGGGAGGAAGCTGGAGTGCCCAGAGTAAGCCCATGCAGGCACGGGGAGAACATACAAATTCTACAAATTCTAGAAAGAGATTACTAACCACTGCATCACCATGCCTTCTGATGAAAAAGTTAGGATGGTTACTGCCTCCAGCAACAAGTTAAAGCAGATTAGAATCAAGCTTTTTATGTGGAGAACAAGAATGAGACTGGTTACTCTCTTGCCCTTGATTTACAAGGTTGGCGTATTGCAGCATTCTCTGAAAAGGAAACGAGAAGAGGAGAGAAGAGAGAAAGTGAAAAGGAAAGGAAAAGGGAAGGTAAGGGAGCGAAGGCGTTGAAGAGAGGAGGTACTGCAACAGCAAGAAATTTTCATCAGCTTAAGTGCCTTGAATCTGACCTGTCCAATATCTTTCCTCTTGTCAGGGTGCATTAAAACACCAATGCATACACATACACACACACCTTGAACTTCATACTCTAATGCAGTTGTAAAGAATCTCTTACAAGAGTAGAACGCACAAATATTTTGTACCATGTTCATGAGGCATAAAATCAAGTCTTTATATAGCTTGAATAATAATTGCCCCATAAATTAGTTTGTCTTATATTTTATTTATATTGCAACACAAAACAATATGTTAACAGGACAGGTCATAGTAGACAGAACAATGGAATAGAACCTTTAGTACAGAACATAAGGATATAAGAATGTATCATGGTGGTTTTCATGCAATGTGTGCATGTGAAGGTATGTTGTGTGGGTGTGTTGAACTCTATTTAGACTGGAAATAGAAGAGGAAGGAGGGAATAAGAGAAAAAACAGGCAGTGAGCTATCAGTAGGTGTGGAAGAGAGAGAGAGAGAGAAAAAAGGTGTAAACATATATACAGTGCCTTGCGAAAGTATTCGGCCCCCTTGAACTTTGCGACCTTTTGCCACATTTCAGGCTTCAAACATAAAGATATAAAACTGTAATTTTTTGTGAAGAATCAACAACAAGTGGGACACAATCATGAAGTGGAACGAAATTTATTGGATATTTCAAACTTGTTTAACAAATAAAAAACTGAAAAATTGGGCGTGCAAAATTATTCAGCCCCCTTAAGTTAATACTTTGTAGCGCCACCTTTTGCTGCGATTACAGCTGTAAGTCACTTGGGGTATGTCTCTATCAGTTTTGCACATCGAGAGACTGAAATTTTTGCCCATGCCTCCTTGCAAAACAGCTCGAGCTCAGTGAGGTTGGATGGAGAGCATTTGTGAACAGCAGTTTTCAGTTCTTTCCACAGATTCTCGAGTGGATTCAGGTCTGGACTTTGACTTGGCCATTCTAACACCTGGATATGTTTATTTGGGAACCATTCCATTGTAGATTTTGCTTTATGTTTTGGATCATTGTCTTGTTGGAAGACAAATCTCCGTCCCAGTCTCAGGTCTTTTGCAGACTCCATCAGGTGTAAATATACAAATACAGGGAGGGTACTGGCAGAGTGTGTTCATTGAGCCAATGTCATTGGAGCAAGAACAAGACAGGTCACCATCAGGGAGCTCCAGAGTAGCACAGCAGGGTAAGGTCCACCAGGACAGCAGTATTCTTGTTTTATAGTTATTAAATTGAACTTTGAGCTTTTTCTCTGCTTTATTGTTTATCATTATTTGCATTTATTTTGGTCATTGTGACTGGTATTATGAAGATTGGCACCAGACCCCAACAATTCAGTTCAATTCAATTCAGTTTTATTTGTAGCGCCAAATCACAACAATTGTCATCTCAGGGCACGTTACATAGTAAGGTATAGACCTTATTATTATTATTACAAAAACCCAACAAATCCCCAAAGAGCAAACATTTGGTGACAGAGAGAAGGAAAAACTCCCTTTAATAGAAAAAACCTCTGACAGGCCCCTAATCTTAAAGGTGCAGAGGGTGTCTGCCTCCCGAACTGAGACTGGGAGCTGGTTTTAAAGGAGAGGACATTGAAAGCTAATGAACGCAGCGACCCCTCTGTCTTTGAGTTGTGTGCCTTAAAATGTGTGTTATAGTGCGTGTTCACGTTTGTTGTGTTTATGTTCTGGTGCACGTAGTTAAATATCTAATCTGCGCCAAAGATACAGTCGCCACTGCCTTGTGGATACAGGATATAAGTCAAAACATTTTAACTTGAACAAGGGAGTTACAGAGGAACTTTGAGGCCTGGGGCTTCTCTGCTGGATTCCTACATCACCGTACATGCCGGCTGCATCAAGATTCTTCTTGCTATTGTTAATAAACACTGCTCTCCGATGGTGGGGTTTATTATCATCAAGTGTCAACCTTTCTATTTATGTAGGGAGCACTCAGTAATTCTGTTGATAGCTGTGTACATTCCTCCCACAGCTAACACCAGTGATAGGAGTGAGGCACTAGATGAACTCTACCAGGCCATCAATAAACAACAGAAAACGCACCCAGACTGATTCCCCATCACAGCTGGGGACTTCAATCAAGTTGATTTAAAGGTTTTACTGCCCAATCTGCACCAACATGTGGACTTTCCAACAAGAGGAGACAACACATTGGACTTTGTGTACACTGCATGCAAGGGAGCCTACAAAGCCTCCCCCACCTGGGTCTCTCTGATCACATCACCATCATGCTGAAACCTGCATACAGACCCAGAGTGAAAGCCATCAGACCAACACAAAAGGAGGTATGTGTGTGGCTGGAGGGGGCTTCTTATGCTCTGAAGGACTGTTTTGACACTACAGACTTGGACATTTTCAAACAAGCAGACACTCATAACAATCACACAAACATAGAGGAATACACTGAGGCTGTCACAGCATACACCACAAAGTGCATTGATTATGTCACTTACCTCAAAAATATCAGTGTTCGTGCCAACCAGAAGCCATGGATGACAGGTGAGGTTCTCAGACCCCTGAGGGCTCGGGATGCAGCTTTTAGGGCCAGTGACACTGCAGGCCTAGCGACAGCAAGAGCCAACCTGTCCCGTGGAATCAGGGAGGCAAAATGCCAATATAGCAGGAAAATATCTGGACACTTCAGCAACACTAGAGATGCACAGAGTCTCTGGTGGGGTATCCAAATCCTCACATGCTATAAACCCCCACCTCGGAAATGTGATAGTGACATCTCTCTGCTGAACAGCATCAATGACTTCTTTGGCTGCTTTGAAACAGAGAACAACACGCGGCGCCCCGGGTTCGAATCAGGGTTGCGTCAGGAAGGGCATCCAGTGTAAAACACGTGCCAAATGTCAACATGCGAGTCATCAGTGTGACGATTCACTGTGGCGACCCCTAAATGGGAAAAGCCGAAAGTGGCTTTACTTTACTTTTGTTTCAATTTTTTAAAAAGGAGTAACTATATGGTTAGATGGCATATTTCCAAGGTTTTCAGTCCAAGTACAATAACTTCTATTTTGTCAGAGTTTAGGCTTTTGTGTCTTTAAGATATGTATGTTGGAAGTTTGACCAATTGATCTGATTTATTTGTGTTCATGGACAGATATACAGTAACTGAGTATCATCTACCTGGGACTGGAAATTTATACCATATTTCCTAATAATATTGCCTAGGGGAAGCATGTATAAAGAGAGTGAGGCTTTCAAATGAATTATAACTATGTTTAGGTCTAGGGTTGATTTAATAGATTTGAGTCAAAGCTCGCTGCCACACCGCCACCTTGGCCTGTGCTTCCAGGGAAGTGACAGTTACTATGACTAGGTGGAGTGGATTCATCTAGACTGAC